AAGAAGCTGCACCTATTATAATCTCAATACAGATGTGGCCTGCCTGCAGTCACGAAGTCGCATAGGTCCACCTGTGGCAACCTTCACCTTAGCATCTGAGCAACCAGTATTTAAAAACAAAAATAATTGTCCTTCTCTGTTTCCTTTTTTCCCAGTCTATGCAGAAACTGACTTGATCGTTTGAGTGCATCTGATGCATGTTTTAACGCAGGGTCGCCCAACAGGGGTGGCAGCCTCTGCGTGGCACGTGGCTGATGGGGAATGAGACAGGCAGCACAGTAGCAGATGAGGCAGAGAAAAGAAAGCAGAGTAGAAAATCAGGCAAGGAGCGCAAGACAGAAAGTAGCAGCAAATTGGGCAGGGGAAAGGGATTAGAGTGGCATTCAGGGAATGTTCAAGGCTAATTTAGGGGACACCTGCCAAAGAGGTTGGCTCCCACTGTTTTAAAGAGAGGGAGTGAAAGAGTGAGAGAGAAAAAGGATCCAGTTCTGAGGAAGTGACGTTCTAAAGCAGCGTTTTGCGTTCAGTTCTAAACATGCGAGGTCCGTGACTGCTCTTACCTCTAGGAGAGAGTCACAGCATAGGTCCATCTCCTCTGAAGGTTTTGTCTCTTGTGCTCATCAGTCTTCTGTTTCTGGTTCATCGTTCCAGTGCAAGCTGGCGGCTTGGGGTCAGGGTCATGGTGGGAAAAAAGAAAGCCCAGGGAGGGCTTTTACAATCAGGACTGAAACCTCCAGTTGGTTTCTATGTTCACCGAGGAAACTAAGAAGGGAGCAGAGCACTGGAACAACATTTTCACAATCCCTTGTGTTGCTAAGCAGATGGTTTGCTGGGTTTTATACTAGCTGGAAGCATTTCAAGGTATGCATCTTCTACTTACAGTGAGTGCCCAGATGCAAAGCTAGAAATCAGAAATGAGTGAGCTGCCACTCCAAGTGGGCAAAGAATTCAAAGTGCCTGTGTAGATGGCAAACATCCAGAGCCCTAGTACGAGGTCTCCAAAACACTACCACCAGCAGGCCTGTCTGCTGTGGCAGAGAAAGGCAGAGAATTTTCACCTGAATTATCACCCAGATTATATCTGTTGCTATTGAAATAGTTACCTAAATGTGTAGACATAATTTACACAAAAAACACAACAAAACACCCCAAAACAAAGAACCAAACCAAAACAAAAAAACCCTTTAAAGCTCCCAAACTGGTTACTTGGTCTTAAAAACCAAGATTTTTCTAACAGTGTAAAAAAATCCTTATGACAATCTCGAGTGCTGTGTTTTACAGTTATAGCAGGTATCTGAGTTAGCTGAGGCACATTATGCTACACATTAAGGATATGCCTGCTGGCTGTTCCAGCAAACACATGAAATACTGCACAACTATAAAATGTCTGCCCAACTGAGGGGTTTATTTCAGGAATAACTGACTTGTGAGACTAAAATCATCTACACTTGGTCCAATTACAATCCATTATCATTACCTTCACGCTAAGCCACAGGTCTGATCTAACTCAGTCACTAGACTAAACTATGGTAGAAATATCCCAGCAACGATGAGAAATATCACCAACTCAATACTGTTACTTTTTCCCTAACAGTCAGTAGGTATTAAAAACTAGCTAAACGGAGATAAATTTCTACTTCTGGTTTGCAGCTTTTAAAAAGTAACGCAAACTCCTGGTTTTTGGAACTAATTGGTAGCACTGAGGTCATCCACAGCCTGTGAAACTTTTTAGCTTACTGAGACATTACCAATTAAATTTTTAACCTAAAATCCATGTACGTTTATTTTTTTCCTGACTAATACTAAATATTAAATAAGATAACACCAAAAAGCAAAGAAAATAGGTGTGTGTCAAATTAAAACCTATGTTTTCCCTTTAGTCAGATACCAATCACGCCTGATACACTGTCTAAAGGCAAATCTGAAGACTGTACCCTGGTTATACACATAGTCCCACTAAAGAACCTTACTGGAAGCCAAAGTTCAGACCCCACTCCACTCCTAAATGCTTCAGAGGGATGAGACGAGGGGAGAGAAAACCCACGTGAAGCCTAGAAACATAAGCCCTGCACAAGCCATATGAGCTCCCAAGACGAAGGATCACAAACTGACTGGATTCTGAGGACACTTTTTAACTCTTTTAGTTGCACTGGAGTTACAGCGTTGTTGTGACTACTGCAATTTTTCTGTCTTCCAGCTCCCAAAACCAGACATCCTAAATGCTGTGCTGAAAGTTAAATATCCCACAATCCAGTTTGCCAATATTGCCAAATAGAAAAAGTCCCTTCCAAATCCCCAAAGCTGGCAGCCAGCTAATCTCCCAGGCATTACCGGGGATCAAGAAAGTTTGATATGGTTGGGAGAGATAAAACTGAAAAAGAGAGCCCAAAATAGCTACCCCACATACACAGCAATCCACGTCACCCTTTCTTCCCTCTGCAGACAAGGTGATGGCATCTCCAGCACAAGCAGATATCAATAGCAGAAAGTCTTGTGATCCTCTTCCCACCTCCCCATGTCTTGCAGCACAAGGAAGGTGGGAAGAAAGAAAACAGAAGGAAAAGGAAAAGACAGACATATGGAACACCACTTCAGCAGCTCCCAGTGAATTTACCCTGACATCCCCCCACCCCCAAAACCTTCTGTTCTGGCTCACATGAGTCTGCCTGGTTAGCACGGTGAACTATGGGCATAGCTCAGAGAATTGTGATTATAGCCTTTCAATGATAGAAGTGCAGAGTTGTACCTTTCTATGAGTCTTGTAAGATATACATGTCTGGACAAACCCTTAAAGGCCACTTTACTTCTCCCAGAGCTGAAACTTACTGCACAAGTAATGTAGTGTATTTGGTTTCTATGGAAGTCCTTTGGGGAACAAGGTACTTCAGAACGTGTGAAACCCCACTGGCTCTGCATTGTTACTGCAGCAAGAGCTGAACTGAACACTTCAGATATAAATACCCAAATTATTGAAAAATGGAACCCCTGTAATAAGGGGTTTTCTGTCCAAATAAGAAAGCAAAAAGTCATTAAACCCAACGATAATTTAGTCAGGATGGTAAGGGACAGTAGCAAGGCATTTAATAGTTAAGTATTCTGGATATAATGCATATGTTGGATCCTAGTAATAAATAACAACACTGCATGCCTAAATGGAAATTTCTCTCCATGGGTCTGAAACTTCTTTAAAAAGATGGGTACTACATTAGTATCCCCATTTCTAAGGATGGGGATAGGATGTACATAGTATGAGTTGCCAGAAGGTTTAACTCCCAGTTCATCTCTTGTGCTCAGCCAAAATTGTTTTTTGAGATAGAGCGAATCAGTTAAATAAAAGTCTAAGAAAAAGACCAAATGGAGATGTTGCCCAGTTCCATTACCGGCAATCTATTTGAAGGAGTGAACAAACATGTTCTTTTTTTTCTTCCAGAAAATGTGTTTATTTATTTAAATAAAAATTGGTGCCAGTAGAAACAATAAACCTTAAATACATGAGACAATTATATACAACTCAGCATTATAAAGTATATACATCATTTTTACTGATACAAATAAATTTATCCCAAAATAAAAGGATGGTGGATAAAGCAATGGAAAATGTGACAACTCGCACATGTCAGTCTCAGTTGGAAAGTTTCAGGATTCAAGTGATTCCAGGCAAAGTGCCAAACTTAATTTGGCTTCTCTCAGACTTAAAAAGCCCCTTTGGAGTAAATCTACCAAAAAGCTTTATATGGTCTGATCCAAAGTTCATTTAAATCAGTGGAAAGGCTCCTGCTGACTTGAGTGGACTTTGGACCAGGCCCTTTATGAGCACTGGAGACTTTCTCCAAACATTTTTATCTTTTGCTCTATCAGAAATATAGAGCAATACTTCTGAATACATCACATTACGTTACATTAACCCTTCAAACTAGAAATAGAGTTCCTATTCCTAACTGGCAGACATATAAAGGGCTCTTGCATCAGTTAATTTCTGCATTCAGTGTTCATATTTTTCAAGTTGTCTCTCAAGCTCTAAGGTCAGTAGATAAATTATAGAGCTATTTTAACACAGGAAATATGTAGAGACATTTTGCAAGCACTTTCCTGCTCAATGCTTCAGACTGCAGTTCTTTTGCTCTCATGGCTACAAATAAATCCAAACATCATAATAAATTATAATAAAATATAATCCATAGCTGAAACAATCATCCTTTGATACAACAGTAACCTTTGCTTATTTAGAGAAGTGCAGAAATTTAGTAACCAGTGTTGGGCACTTGGGAAACCACAGTTCTATTGAATAAGGAAAAAATTTTGTAATAGTGCTTTTTAACAGCTATTGGTCATCACAATAGGGAAATGCATGTGCCATATGCAACATACAGTAGACAAAAGAAGTGACCTGATGCCTATGTTGAGCAGAAGGGCTAAATACTCTTAGGTGTAAATGGATGCAGCTTTATTGATTTCGAAGTAAGAATTTAGCTCTAAAAAGGTAACTGGAAATTCTATCCTTGTAAACAATAGGAGCTTTGCTGAGGAGCCAGTATTTTACCTTAATAAATCCAGTTCTTTACTGTTTCACCCACAAAATGCCATTGAGTCCAAGAGAGCGTAGCAAAGCAGAACTTATTCCAGCATTTCTAATCCTTACAGTTTGTAGCAAAGCTTCTTTTATATTACTAAATATACCTTTCTAATTGGTTACTCACAGGGGAAATTTATAAAGCAATCAGAGTTGTGACCGCAGTGTGGGTTGGCGTACCCGAATGAGCTGGCATGGGTAACAGCAGGAGCAAAGATGAAGTGGCATGGATTTGAACATCAGCTTAGGACCCTGAGTACATTCTCAGTTTATGTAGGCTCTGTCATATCCATGCCACTGGGTCTTTGTTTCTATGGTTACTGCTATTAACTAAATTAAAACTAGCTTGGGTGTGCCTATCCTTCCTGCAAGCTCACCCTTGCCTGCAGTATAGGCATATTCTCAGTCTCTGAAGCCTCTTCAAGTAAAATTGCAGTTGTCTGTGGTGCTACAAAACACACTCAGCAAAAGTAGAATCCCAGATCTATGAGAGTGGACATTAACCTTGCTGATTCACAACATGTGGGCACCTTCTCTCAATTTTTCCCAGACATTTGCAGAATTTTGAAATAGGCAGCAGATAGGGTGTGATAGTTACCTGGTAAGAAAAAAGTTATTCTCCATATATTAGCTCTTACAGTAAAAATCTGAGGCATTAAAATTAAGCATTAGAGTCGCTTGTATTTTGTTGGTTCCATTTTGACTTGTGTGTCTCTGGGTTCTCATCTTCCCAACTTTCAAGAATGTGTCAGCCTCCGGAGTACTGATGTCTGCTAAGAGTTCATCCAAGGTGGCACTGGAACAGGAAAGAAGAACCTTAAGCTCTCAACATGAATTCCACTCAGTAATGCTATGTTATTACTAAGATAGCTTGTGTAACTGCCTCTCAAAGCTCTGCAGGTGCTAGGAATTCCTATGGATGTTTTCTGAAGACCCTTCGCTGCTCTCATTCAGAAGGGATTCTGATACTTCCCCTAGTTCAGCATCTGGCACCTCCTCTTGAATGGTGAAATGAATATCTGGTGAGGAAGACTCAGAACTCACACTGCTGCCTTCCAGTGAGCAGATAGCACAGGACAGAGATGGTACCATACTTTCCTGCAGCATGTTTAACATCGTGGGTATCTGCATAGACCTCAGTCCAGATATGGTTGGCAGAGGTTTCATGGCTGCTCCCCACTCCCTTTCCTCATCTTTGTAAAGCAGAAACAGATTGGATTTCTTCTCTTTCCTCTTAGATTTCATGTAGCCCAACATTATTCCCATTAAGAAGATCCCATAGAAAGACATGACAATCAGAATATAAAAGTACTCATTGCCATTACTGCTGTTCTTCTCCGGACTCTGGGATCCAACAGGAATCATGGATTGGGTTATGTTTGTATGATCCATCTCCAGCATTGATGCTGTTTTGCCAAAATTTAAGCCTAGAAGAGAATATATGTGTGTTAGATCTCTCAGTTACTGACAAACATTTTTAATGCCTGAATTAAAGACCCACAGACCCTTCTTTGTCACTTGCACTGTCCTATCTTTTAAATGCTAGAGAACCAAACAGATTGAAACTTGCATATTCTGGATCACTTTCAACAGTAACATTTTAGTCTAATGAAATCTAATTTAAATACAAACAGAGAACATTAAATAAAAGCACACTGTATTAAATACAATTCCAAAATATGACAAAAGGGCAGATCTACATGATTAGGAAGGAAAGAAAACTAGGTGGAAAATACTCTGTCAGTCACATTTATATAATTGAAATCAGGTTTTGTGTTGCTTATCAACACCTCAGAAGACAAAGATAGTTACAGATGTTATTGCATTGAGTGGTATGGAGGGAGAAGAGAGATACAAGCAACTTACGCAAATAGTTGTTCACTTTACAAAGCTCAAGAGACCTTTTCTCCACCAAATGCCGGGTGTTCTGAAAACTTTGCTCTGCTGCAAGCAGAATAAATAGCTCTCAAGAAATATATCATCACGTGTCCTAGGCACAGTTTATAATAGTTTTGTGTTGGAGTCAACAGATGAACTCAAGGCACTGCAGTTCAGCCCACTGAACTCTTGACAGCTGTGAAAAGAAAAAGGATTGGGAATCCAGTTACTCTTTTCTAACCAGAAACTGTCAGATTGCTCAGTCTGCAATCTGTCCCCTTCCACATGCCTCTCAAATGTTATATGCAAACAATTAACTTGAGAGCACTTGAACATAGCCTGCTAGTTATTAATTCATCTCTGTCCTGCAATATAGAAAAATACCTTCTTGGTTTTCTAGCACACACTGAAAAACCCCTGCCAGAGCCATGTGCACAGTTACTGCTTTCCCCAAACACTGTGTGCACTAAAGTCTCTACTTGTCAGAGCCTTGTGCAGTCAAATTGTGAGAAAATGAGAACAAAATGCTTCTAAATCAACACTGGCAATCTACACCCATTATGCTCCAGTGTGCACAAGGGCACTCAAGAATCAGGCCCCAAATTTTGAATGGCCTTTTCATCCTAAATGGTAGTTTTCAGTAGGACCATTGAGCTAATATTAATTTGATACTGTAGGGTGCTATTCACCTTGATAGTAACACCTAGTGAAAGGCCCTCCATACACAGTAGCTAGACTGCCAATAAAAACAGCTTCTGTGATTTCCTATCCAGGACACGCTGCAAAGAAATCTCTATGTCAGCCCCTGTATCCAGACAGAGTTTGGGGCAGGGTCATGGGTGGGCCCACAGCATCCGTTAGATTAGCCCCATATTTCCCTCAAGTGGCTCATAGACTAGTGGGGGGGAAGGCCTGAACAGCATCCTGGGATTTCATTCCCCATTTCTCCCCACCCCCACACTTTGCACAGAGAGCCCAATTAGTCAGGCCCATGTACGTGACATGCACATCCCCCTTGCTGAACAGTTTGTTTATATGACAGGATACTTCAGCTCCAGGAAATATTTCACTGGTGCTTGTTGTTCTCCATTGCAGGTTCTGACCTTTTCACAGTAGGTTGTTAACTCTTTGTATCATCTCCAAATATTTTACAGCATGTCCTCACAGCACGAGAGACTGAGAAATAAGATTGCATCCTGCTCTACATGTGGGTAAAACAAGGCAAAGAAAAGGTAAGTGGTTGAGCAACAAATTCATGACTGTATCAGCTGGAAGACCAGATCAGGACATTTTCAATTCTGCTGTTCCCTATTTCTAAAAGGCTCACCGGCAGGCAGGCAGACTTCAATAGCAGGATTCCCTTCCTCATCCCTCGAAACTGAGGATCCGCTCTCTAGGATGTTGATTTTAGCCTCTCCTCACACATTCCCATATGATAGCTCAGGAGTTGTTGATATTGAACTAACGTCTGTTGGGATTTCATTTGACAAAATCTGTCTGTAACACCAGCTTGCCAAGTCTGGATTTTTCTTCCCCATTCCCTACAGATTACTGAACAGGCAGCAATATTAACCATTAAGTTTACACATAACTTAGTGCAAGACTCCCAGTTGCCTGGTCACCTTTGGAGATTTTTCTCTCTCTTAGCTCCATGCTATAGCCACTCCCTAGACGACATTCTGCCACTGCACACCCTCCACTTGGTGTCAGAAATTTGGAATTTAGAGCATTAAAGCTCATGGATCTAATTTTTTCCCTCAGATGAGAATATGAGACTTCCATAGAAGTAAACAGGAGACGCTGGTACTTACCAGCATAGAATTTGGCCTGGCACAATGCATTGTAGCAGGGTGACATTTCCTTTTCATGCCCGCAAGACTCAGCAAAATAGACCTTCAGGGAACCTGGTGGGGGACAAAGAGACAAGGAGAGATCTTCTGCAATTGCTGTTCTAGTCCCATAGCTGGAACAGGGACACGTGCACCCCGATGCAGGAAACTTTTCCAATCTAGACACTCATGGCCACTTATGCTGTATCCTGGGTGTCACACATATTGCTTGCAGACCAGATCTGATCCAGCCGTGGGATCCAGCCATTGGACTGACCCCATGCACTGCATTTGGAATCCAGACCTGGTCTAGTGCGCAGGCTGGACCCAGTGCCATGGGCACTGCACATAGCCAGGGGGCTGGCATGGGGCAAGTGGTACATTTGGCTGTGGTGCACATGGATGACCTGGGGTCTGTTCCAGACCAGCCCATGGAGCCAGCAGGCAGGGCCATCTGGCAGGGTGCTGAATGCAGCATGCCCTCCATGCTGGCCTCTGGGGCCATGTGCAGTGCCCACAGTACTGAGTTCAGCTCATGCACTGCCTGTAGTGCCAGCCCCAGAGCAGCACAGGGGCTGGCATGGGCATGAAATGCATGCAGCACCCCAACAGACTGGCCCTACACACTGGCTTTGGCACTGCCTGTGGAGCCAGGTGAGTTTGACACCCCTATTCTATATGATTAATGTGATTGTGGAGCCCCACTGACCATTCTCCAATGTTTCCCCTGGTACCTAACTTCTGTCCCGTGCTAACTGACATGCCAGAGTCTGGTTCTACTGTGTAGGGAGTAGAGTTCCCCCTTTCACCTACTCCAGTCTTGCACTCTCCACGTGGTAAAGCTGTATGCAAACTAGCATAGAAATATTGGTGCAGCCAGACAGAGCACAAGGAAATTGCAGCTGCCACATCCCATACATCTATGCAATTCCCTGAACTGAATTGCAAAATGAGCTAAAGTCTGACTATTTCTCAAACAACATTGTAATTATGGTTAATCAGGCTGGCTACTGTCTGCAAGACTTTCCCACTTGTCACCACATGTGACCCCAGATAGGAAATATAACGGGAAAAGGACTGGAGGGGAAGAACCTTATTGAAGATGTGCAGAGGGATGAGGAGACACTAAAAAGCCTGAGGGTATGAATGTGCAGAATTTCCCATAACAGTAATTCTGGTTCCCACACACCCCTAGTGTTACGCATTAGCTGTGCTCATACACTTCTTTCGTGAGAAGGATGATTTTACTCCCAGCCTGGTCTTCTGCAGAAATTCTGCTGCCTGCACATCCCCAAGGTTTCTCAAGTCACAAAACAAAAGAAGAGGATGGGCCAGCCAAGTCAGCCAATTATAACACTTTGAAAAGGTCATGGACTTGCTGCCAGTCTCAGACAAGCTGCTCAAGACCCTCCCCTCCCGGTGAGTCTATGGCGACAATATGTGATAGGAAGTGCACATCTTCAGGGACGATAACAACATTTTGTTCACCCATTTCATCCAGCCACAAACAGTCATTTGGGATCACAGCATCCCTACACATTGGAAATCATCTGATGGCAAAGGATATAACAAGGCACAGGAGATGGTACAGCATGAATCTATTCTCAAAATAAAGATTAGGAGAGGAATGGGAAATGGAAAAAACACAGAATCCATTATCAGAACGACATGAACTATCCCCAGAGAGTCTGCAAGTCACTGCAGGCTCACACAGAAAATACAGACTTAACCCTTTGTGGGCGTTAAGCCCTGCTCCTGGTGCTGAGTTTATCTGCCAGTTTTAACCTAGGAGTCAGGAAGGTTCTTGGCATAATTATTAAGAATTTGATCCAAGGAGATGCTGAGAACCTTCCAAGTCCCATTTGTTACATACAAAGAACTCAGATGCCTTTCTTCTCTGAAGCAACCCTGTTACAAGTGAGATGAAAGTAATGGAAGAGAGATAAGAAACACTAGGAGAAGTTAGAGGGAGGGGTGAAGTAGAGTTAAGTTTTAAGTGGAAAAATTGATGGAAAATCTAAAGCTGAAAGAATAACAGGAGATTCTCTTTGTACAGGTAATGACTGAGCAGTAGTTCAGAATAGGTGGACATGACAGCTGGGAAGAATTAGTATTTTTAGTTTACACCAAATTTCACACAAGCAACAATCAGAACCATAGAACAGTAAGGTTAGAAGGGACCTCAGGAAGTCATCTAGTCCTACTCCTGCTCAAGGCAGAATCACCCCTGACTAAACCAAACAATTCAATTGTTTGTTTAACCTGGTCTTAAAATTTTCCAAGGACTGGGATTCCACAATCTCTCTGTGTAGAATGCTTACCCAGCTTCTTAGTAAGAAAGCTCTTCCTAACTGTGGATTGTGACTTGGATCTGACACCTGAAAGAGGGAGGCAAAAGGACAAGAGATGTTTGTATGCTTGGTTTTGATAGTTCTTTTACTTTAAAATGCCTGCACTGACACTTGGCCCCATTAAGAAACCTAAGCCTCTCAAAAAGCCTGATTTGAACCTCATGGAAGTCAGTTTCCATTAACTTAAATGGGTTTGGATCAAATCAAAAGAGAAGGTTAGGGCAGGAATGGCCGCGAGTCCCTTCCAAGTTCAATACTACTCAAAATCAACCATGCTTGAAGCTTGTGAATTGAAAAGAGCTCTCTGAAACTTGAGATCTTGATTGTAAAATAGTCCTTTTTGGGCTAGTAGTTGGAGTAAAGTGGTAGTCTGGCAGTCTCCTGAGTCCTATCTCTATTTGTTACTGGTTTGCCTAGAACACTGATTCTCAATCATGGTGTCATGATACACTCTTAAGAGTGCCACAGGCTGCCACAAAATATTAGCATTATTAGGTGTACAAACAGAACACCTACACACGAGTCACAAGATAAATCCAGGGATTTCAAATAGGAATCCGCAACTCTAGTGCCCAAAACATTCTTACCTGTTTTGATCTTCCTGAGTTCTTTGCAATGGAAAAATTGCTCTGTTATTTTTCTGTAGTCAAGAAATAAGCGAGAGCTAGGAGCTGGGATTTTCTATGGGGTGCTTTGAGTCTAAAAAGGGGTACCTTCAGTCTGAAAAGGTTTTGAGAACCATTGATCTAGAACTATAAAATGAAATTGAGTTTCAAATTTAATTGAAAATTACATACCTCTACTTAGTTGTCCCACTTGTAAAATGGATCTAATACTATTAACTAATGTTTTAAATATGCTCTGAGGACATGATGCTCTAAAATATTTGCACATCACTTTCTGAAGGAATACTTACTGCTCTATACACAAAGTGCAAAAGCATGACCATCTTTGTATATGTACGTAT